TTTCGGGTGGAGGTTGGGGCCGCGCCGAAGCGTCGCTGCGTAGCTGGGGCCGGCCCGGCACGGCACAAACGCCTCCTGGGTGCGCCGCGTGGTGGGCCCGGCTTGCGCGGCTGCCTCGGGGAGCAGCCCCCAGGCGGGCGCATCCTCTTGTCCCCTCGCGCCCTGCCTCTCCTCTGCATTTGGCTCGAGTTGGTTTGGTTCACCCCAGCCCCTCCTCAGGCGCCTGGAGCCTTGCGTGCCCCAGAAACCCGCAACAGGCACGGCACAAACGCCTCCTGGGTGCGCCGCGTGGTGGGCCCGGCTTGCGCGGCTGCCTCGGGGAGCAGCCCCCAGGCGGGCGCATCCTCTTGTCCCCTCGCGCCCTGCCTCTCCTCTGCATTTGGCTCGAGTTGGTTTGGTTCACCCCAGCCCCTCCTCAGGCGCCTGGAGCCTTGCGTGCCCCAGAAACCCGCAACATTGGTCGGGTGCAGCTCCGCGTATTTGGCCTCTGCTCTGCTCTGCCTGCGCAGGCAGAAGGGACCGAGTGCTTGCCTCCGCCACCTCCCTCAGCCACTCGGGGCCAGAGAGAAGCAGAAGTCTCCCTTTGTCTTGGTCCCCGGCTCAGCAGGCAGCTGCCGCTTTCGGCTCCTGCATCGCCAGGGCCGGGGAGAAGTGCAGGGGCACTTTCCATTCGAGGTGCAGCAGATTACTTGGAAAGTTTTGACAATTAAACACTGCCGTTTGTCAGCAATCATTTGCCTGCTCCACTCGTATGAACTGAAGTTCATTGTGGTCTTGGAGGAGCTAGGGGTTGGTGTATCGCCGGTTTTGTGTAGCTCTATAAACTGGCCTTTTACCAGTGATGATGACATGGAGAGTTGTATGGGGCTCCTGCTGCAGAGTGCGTATCAGTGGAGAAAAAGGACACAACTCACCTGGGTGCAGCTGGTCAAACATTAATTTTTTTAAACTTGGTGTGCTTTATTGAGCAAGTTTGGATTGAGGAGTTCTGTTCGCTTAGACCAGGGGTGCTCAACCTCTTGCCTGCAGACCAAATGTGGCCCACAGGGCCCCCCATATGTTGGGAAATCTGGCAGCAGGGGAGCAGTGGCAGTACTCTCATACCTCCCTGCTGCCAAAATCCCAACCCCTTGGGGCAGGTCTGAGCTGGGCCACAACCCTTCCCTGCACTGTGGCCAAAATCAGAGCCAGGCCATGCCCCCTTCCCTCTGGGCTGCCTGACTGTGCTCTCTTTTCCCTGTGGGGCCAGGCCCTGCCCCTCTCCCTTCCCATAGCCAGTTTGTGGTTGCGTCATACCCCCTTCCTCCTGTTGGGCAGGGTCAAACCCCCTCCCTCTGTGCAGCTGGATTGGGGCCAGGTCATAGCTCCCCCCCAGCACCAGGTCAGGGATGACCTAAACTCCCTTCCATCACATGATTGGATCAGGGGCAGGCTGCCCCCCCTCCCCCTGGTCAGATGGGGCCCCAGTGGATACTGTCTGTGGAGGGGTCAGGCATTACCCGTCACCAGCCAAAAAGTTTGAGCACCACTAGTGTAGACAGATTGGTTTCGCCCCCCCTGGGCTGGATGTGGACCATGGTACTCCTTACAGGCCAGATTCAGACTCATGAGCACTGTGGCAAGTAGCAGCAGGGAGCCATGGGGGGGAAGCTGTTGCTTGCTGATACTTGTCCCCTAGAGGGCTTCATACCCTGGATTGCAGCAGCAGGCACCACCCCTAAGCTGCCAGCTCCACAGGCCAGCTGCCATGCCTTTATGGGATGATTCTAGCTCTATGAACTTTATGTGGGACACTCCTGGTTTAGACATTTTGCTAATGAAGGAAAAAATCTTCAGGAAGACTGAAGGTCTTTCCTCCTGAAAAACATATTTTAAAAGTTAAAGTTATTGGGGCTCCTAAGATGAAAGCCCCACCTCTAATTTGACCCCTTTACTCCAGTGTAAAGGGCAGAAGCAGCATAAGAGCGCCCTAAAAACCCTGTGTTTTCTTGTAACTGGTGAACTAGTGAATACAGACTCTTGTAGGTAGGGCAGGAGCGGCACAATAGGGTGGAACTGTGAAAAGGCAATAATAATTAAGACCATCCATATTATACTAAGGGGCCAAGAACAGCCCAGGATGAGAAGGGCTCGAGTATTTTAAGTCATCTTAGCTGCTGCTTCCTCCTGGGAGGGAGGTCTCTGCAGCCCCTCAAAGGCACAGGACAACATTTCACTTGGAATGAAAAAAAAAAAACCCCTGAATTGCTGCATTTAGTATTAAGATTTAAGTTAGGACAGAATTGTTCAAAATTTTTTAACCTAAACAAAGTATGAATATCAAAAGACTTCATGGGTTTAATTTACCAAAAATGGAAGGCTGATCTTGAAATACTTTCTAGTGACAGGAACTCAAAGCCAACTACTCTAGTGAGTCCAGAAAGTGAAACTGAATATAAATATACAAGTATTTTAAGTTAGTTTTGAGAGAGGCAGCTTATGCTAAAATGTATAATACTATAATATTTTTTAAACATGCTGTACCAATTAGCCTTTTTCAGATTTCAGAAGCTGATTTAATTCTGCATAGGACCACGAAGAAACTTTTGAAGGCAGCTCAAGACTTGTAAATGTCACAAGCTTGGGTTCTGCACCAAAAGGCTTTTTTTCATTCTTAACAGTGGCATGAATGCTAGTATTTTACATTTTTCCAAATGAAAATACTTTCAGTTTTGGAGGGCCAGAAAAGCTTTTGCCTTAAATAATCTCGGTTTTAGTTTAGCTAGCACTTACAAAGGGATTCATCTGGATTACTCCATTCACAGGTGAAAATGTAACTGGAAGCTGAAAAAGCAGGAAATATTTCATTCTTTTTACCTTGTTTATCATGCAATCCAATTTATGCAACAAATTTTAACACTTAAAGATGTATCCAATTCTCTAAGATCTATACAGATGTAGGGAGCTATTTATTTTCTGTCAATGCTGCTCCCA